AGATAAGTAATACTCATACGAAATATATAGAAATGTCTTTTCTAAATAGTTAAATGTTTGTTACAGTTTGTAAAAAGTTTAATAATGGGTTTTTTTTCAACCAATGTAAACAAATTTGGGTGATGTGAATTGAAGAAAGTTTGGGTTAGATGATATATGAGGAAAATGAAGGATGTTGGTAAAAACTTAGGTTTGCTGTATTTCCTTTAACTACTGGTAATGTAGTCCATCATGGGCACATTTTTCACGTGGCAGAGTTCTTGTGTGGTATCTATGTAAAAAACATTCTACATCTCAGTGAAAATGCCAAATGCTCACGTTACCTCATCGGGTGTGTGTACCTCTTAGTCTTTTTGTGTGACACCATTTCCCTTTCCAAGACATTCGAAGACCACCACCACTCCCCCAACGGATGATACACATTTTACAGTTGAGCAAAGACCTGCCTAATTGTTGTTTTCATCTGACTGTTTGGAGGGCAGGCTAGGTTTTGCTGTGACATTCTGCAGCATTGCAAGCTAGTTTTCTCTTACAGAGAAGGTCCTTAGAAAACAGTTCTGAGACTGGCACACTTGTCTTTGGACTGAGTTATTTTGGTATTTCTGCAGAGGGTGCAGGGAGTGGAAACTTCATTCAAGGCAAAATGCCACGTGAGGTTGTTAAACCTCACGGTTTTTCTTTTTTTCTCCTCTTTAACTGTTTAATTCCTCCCCACAACGGTCTTTGCTCTGTGTGAATGTGTAGAATTCTGGGGTGTATGGAGTGAGGAACAGAGCTGTTCTAACGTAAGACCCTATGTGCTCACTAAACTTTGCTCTCTCCCTTTCTGGTCTCCTCATAAAATAGGGGTTACAGGAGAAGACAGCAAGAGGATTTCAGAGTTGGTTGTGAGTGACCATGAAATCACCTCATCACTCTCTAAATATCATGTTTTTAGACCTGGTGATCAAGTCCAGCTTCTCATGGGACATTTAGCCCAAGCAGTTCACTACCATACAAATAGGGCTGCATCAGAACACTGTTGTGACACCTCACACACTCACGATGTGACATTGGTGGAAATTAAGGCCCCATATCTACCTGGCTGTGTGATGATTTTGGTGTGCCTGACATTACCCCAACCTCCTCACCTTATTTAGAATATCAGTTTTTCTAATGTATTCCTAAACTTTTAGAAAAATTTTAAAATGCATTATTAAGAATTTAGAGTCCAGATCTTTATATGCTGAGACAGTCAACAAGATTTAGTTTAATAGTATCCAGACACTTGGATTTGTTTAGGTTTTGGATCTGTTGTGGCTCAACTGGTTTTTAAAAAAATGTTTAGATGTCTAAGTACCCAGATTCTTCAGAGGATTAGGTTGGCACTGGGAACCCTGTACAAAATATCTGCCAAGTTCAGTGTGACAGCACGAAATGACCTCAAGGATAGGATAAGAAAAGCAAACAGTCCACAAAAATGCTCCCTTGTATGGAGGCAAGGAACAGTAAAGTAACCTATGAGACTTAGTCATGCAGTGTGTAAATTTACATTCAGTCAAGTTATCTTGCATGCTTTGGTTAACATTTGAGTAGGCAGATTTGCAAGTACTAATGCATGCAATATTTTTGTACCTGAGGTTATATGTTTTGCTTTAAAAAATTGCATTTTTACAACCTTTATGCCAGAGTTTATCTATGAACACTCTTTAAAAAATATATATATATATATATATATATATATATATATGTATGTAGCTACTTCTTAGTTCAAAACAGTTTAATTTCAGCCAGTTCTATAACTACTGAGATGATAGGAAATGAATTATTTTACAAGGTTGAAATCATAAGTGTGCATGTGTAACCATTTCTAAAATAAGAGGGTTCAAAAAGGATGGCATCTACAGTAAGCCTTTAGAATACCCTGTTTCTAGAATGTTTTAGAAGTATCTCAAGATATGAAACCACCACCACCGCTGCCAGAACAGCCAACTTAAAGTCCAGTTCAATCTTGGGGAACAGATTCAGGGGCAAATGAGGAAAGGTCTCAGCATGATCAACTTGCCTCTCTGTATTCCCAAGCTCACGAAGTTTATGATAAAGAGTTCGGAAGCTCTTATGATAAGTGGGACTAGCTGCAACTGTGCTCTAGTCTTGCTTGTATGGGAAGAATATACCAGAAATATTTATCTCTACAAGTATTTAGCCATGGGGCCCATGATTCAATATAATAGTTCTCCTAGAAGAATGAGGGACGTGGCGTGAAACTCTGAGGTGAGTGTGTGAAACGTAAGTGGACGTTCCTGCCCAGTTACGTTTCCACGCTTTTCTCTTCTAGTAGAATCCGGATTGGCTGGGAAAGCACAGCTCATCATTTTCTTTTAAAGTTTCTTGGTGGACAAGATCTGCCCCGTTTTCAGGAGTAATGGGGAGTGAGTTCTGGAGGAAGTGAAGGGAACGAATCAGTGTGGCTGGCCCAGTAAGAGGGATATTTATTCCTCCTCCTCTCCCGTCCCTCCGCCTCCTCCTCACCAGAAAGGTACAACGGCCCGTAGAAGTCGCCTACTAGGAGTGGTTATAACATGTTTTGAAACTCAGCAGTGATCGCTGGCTTTCTCTATATTTTCATCCAATTTACCAGCAAAGCCAGCCCCTGAAAGTCACTTCTGTGTAACTGAGTGGCCATTCTAGTAAAAAATTATCTTCTAGGAGCTGTCAGGCCATTATATCTTACTACATGAGAAAGGAAATGCAAAGCCTTCTCAGAGTCCCCTGGAAGGCAAATGAGGATGCCTTCCCCTTTCAAATGGAAAGAGTAATTTAAATGACAGTCTCACGCCGTGCCAAAAATAGTTTTGCAAAAAACTAAAGTAGATGCCCTTTAAAAACCCAAACATTCACCGTATATGATTTACACAAAAAGACTGTTCTAGAGTCTTGTTACTTATTTTTTGGTGGTGTTCTAGTCCTATAAACTCGTTCATTTTTAAATAATGGTTTTTACTTAATTTTGTAAAAGATATTATTGAAAAATGCAACTATTTTCCTCTTGGGCCGTAATTCTGGACTTCTTGACAGCCTATAAGAATCTTAGATCTGACGGATACTAGATATACTGGAGAAAGTCCTAGTAAAATGCTCTGCAAATTGCCAAATGATGGTGAGAACGGAAGATGTCTAGTCTTGCCTAAAACTCCTTGGAGTTTGTGTTCCAATAGCAAAATAAAACCTGGGCCACAGAATTTGCCACCATTTAGCAACAGATTAATTATCTGACATTTATACTAGTTTCAGGCTTTAAATTCAGGCTGCAAATTCAGTTGCTGCTCAAAGTGTAGAATGCATCACGGACAGAATGCTTGCAGAGTTTGCTTTGACTCCTTTGTTCAGAGGATCCTCATGGACTGTTGAAGCCGCCTTGCTGGCCAAGGTATGGAGATGGTTGGAGGAAGGAGCAGAGGGGGAAGGATGCTCTTCCATCAGGCATATTTTCCATCAGGCATAGTCAAGCAGCCCCTGCCGTGACTTGGAGGCTGTCTCCGAGAGTCCCTACTGGACTGAGTTTCTCAAATTCTACAACTCTCAGATGCCATTCTTGAAAATAATGTTGAGCTTCTCTTTGCTGCTGAGATGGCAGCGAAGCAGGGGCTGAGGCTGGATGGTCGCTGCTGCCCCTGATGCCGGAACACCTCTGCCTCCTGCTGAGCAGCTGGAGCTGCTACCTGGCCCAAGTGAGCTTTGACGATGAGTGTCAAAACCCGGCATTCCCATAGTGCCCTCCGCGCTCTGTCTTTATAAACTAGAATAGGTCATAACATACGTAAGCCTCCAGGATCTGTAGCTTCTGTTCGGCTGAGGGCCCCTCACAACCCAAGGACTTCAAATGTGACAGAGGAGAGGATTTATTCCTGCACCTAGCATTCAATTTATATGCGTGTGTGCACACCTGCCCCTCAGGAGAAGCTAATGACTCAGGCAGTTAGACTGTTTCAACCCCAATTCTGTGGAGTTTTTGTTGCTGTTGTTTTGTTTTTCACTGGGCAACTATAATCATGAGTGGAATGAGCTATAACTAATCAAAGAACAAAGACAAACTTAGGATCAGACTACATTGGGAAAGGTTCTAGACAAAGGAAGGAGCCAAGGTCAAGAAGAATGGGCTAACTTTCCAGACCTGACGTTGGTAACATTGTATTTCGATTAGCATTTTGCAAACAATGTTCCTTATTCTTTAAGAGCATGCTCTTTCTTTCTTTCATTTTTTTTTTTTTTAAGACAGAGTTTCGCTCTTGTTACCCAGGCTGGAGTGCAATGGCGCGATCTCGGCTCACCACAACCTCCGCCTCCTGGGTTCAGGCAATTCTCCTGCCTCAGCCTCCTGAGTAGCTGGGATTACCGGCACGTGCCACCATGCCCAGCTGATTTTTTTTGTGTTTTTAGTAGAGACTGGGGTTTCACCATGTTGACCAGGATGGTCTTGATCTCGTGACCTCGTGATCCACCCGCCTCGGCCTCCCAAAGTGCTGGGATTACAGGCGTGAGCCACCGCGCCCAGCCTAAGGGCATGCTCTTTCATATCAAGTCACTGGCATCCAGCTGCACTCTCAGAGAGAGTGCGATTCTGAAATTCGGTTTGAAGATGTTGCTCTTCCGTCACTTAGAATGCGAGGGAATAAACAGTGCAGATTATTATGAAACTAAGAACACATACTTTTTAGGAAAAAATGTTATTTATCACTCTTAATAAATATTATGTAAAATAGTTATGGTTTAAAGGAATATTGGTGTGCAGGGCAGTTATAAAGCCAGTAAAAGAGGACCCTTCAGCAAGTTAAACTGAACTCAATAGAAATCACGAGATCACCAGACTTTCTCCCTGCAGAGAACGTGTGGAGAGACAGGTACCTGTGTCTTCCTTCTGTTCGTACAGTCCCAGAAAGCATGTGAATGAAAAGATCTGTTTGCCATATTTACACCTACGTCATCATATCTGCTTTAAGAAAAACACTCCCTCAAAACCCTACACTATGAAAAACTATTTTCAGGAATTGTTTATTTGGTCCGTTGATCTAATGAGGCTAAGTTCTCAAATCTTCCACCCCCAAGTTAAAAATTGGAGCAACGAAACAGAACTCCAGCAAGGCATAGATAAGATATTAAAGTGCGTATGTACAATCCCAGAAAAGTTTAGATTGGGAACAGCAAAAATTTCTAGTGCAAAAACCGCTTCTGCCAGCAAAGCTCCCTCTCTGGAATCAAGGGCTACAGTAAAAGTTAAAATTGGAACAGGTTTAAGCAATGCCTGTCTTTAGTCACGAGTTAATCTATGTGCATGCACCAGTGGCCCCAGCTCAGTCTTGCAAAAGGAAACAGTTCAGAAGCAGCCAGGCTTTCCCAGTCTGAAGCAGTGCTCTCTCCAGGTTTCCATGAACAACTCAGATGTGGCATCAGCTGCAAGTGGAGACAGAAACCCAAAGAACACACGTCGCAGTATGCTTGCGGCTTGTGCAGAGTAGTCCATACATGGCTTCTTCATCTCGGTTTGTCTTGAGTCTCTCAAGTCTTCTTTGGAGCCTGACCTTGACGCTCTAGACAGCATTTTGTGCTTTTGGCTCTGAACAGAGACTGGGCATTGTCTGTAGGAATTAATTTCCTTGGGCTATATGACCATGGGCTTTCGAATATTTGATTTATCCTTTTGAAATTCATAATAAAAGCTTTTCATTTTTCAGTACAATTACGCAGATCAGAGATGATTAGTACGGGTGTTACTCCTTCTTCAAGGATCCAAGTTGAAAGCTCTTAAGAGGACATCCAGGTCACCAAGACTCGCCGCCTGGAAGAGTTCCGGTTGGTCCATCAGAGACAGTGCAATTCTGAGGGCAGCCCAGATGTTCCCAGAGATCGCAGGATGAGGGACTTGCTGTTGATTCCTGCTCTTTCTTTGCAAACTGAGGGCAGTGAGAAAATTGCTGACCGCTTCTCTAAGAAGGTAGAGAAACAGATATTTTAAAATTCATCACATTTCAGAGTTAGCAAATGTAAACAAAACAAAACAAAATTGGATTAAGCGATTTTAGCCTAAAATCACCTCCTGTGGCGTTCTGGATGGTCAAATGAACAACTTTCTAATGCTTTTATATTCTTTAGTGAGCAATCATTGTTAAATATAAGAAAAAAGAAAAGCAGGCTGGGCATGGCGGTTCACACCTGTAATCCCAGCACTTTTGGAGGCCAAGGCAGCTGCATCACTTGAGGTCAGAAGTTCAAGATCAGCCTGGCCAACATGTTGAAACCCTACGTCTACTAAAATTCAAAAATAGCTGGTATAGTGGCATTTGCCTGTAATCCCAGCTACTTGGGAGGCTGAGGCAGGAAAATCGCTTGAACCCAGGAGACGGAGGTTACAGTGAGTTGAGATTGTGACACTGTACTCCAGCCTGGGCAACAGAGTGTGACTATCTCAAAAAAAAAAAAAAAAAAAAAAAAAAGCAAATTTTATTTTAGGACTGTCAAGTTGGAGAGAAAGAATAATAGCAAAACCATGCAAATTCATTAACGCATTCAATCTCCCCCTACTCCAGGAATGATTTGAACACTTAATCCATCTGCAGATTTGATGTCTACACCTAGGTTTACGAGGAAGAATACAGCCCTGCTTAAAAACACAGTGGCCTAATTTTTTCCATTAGTGATGCACATAATGGAACACTAGAGGGATGAGTTTATTATTGGGCACTGGACTCGAGTCCCAGTTATTTAGCAGGAGGCAAAGTTCTTGTCTTTCCCAAGCCTTACTTTCCCTGAGTGTGTAACAGACATTTAAAGATTTTGTGAGATGTGGTTGGATCAATCTACATGCCAGCTCTCACCACTAAGATCGGTAGTCCTGAGTGGGTCTGGAGAAGCTTGGGGATCAGTGAGGTCAAAATTATTTTTATGATAAAACTAAGATGTTATTTGACCTGTTGCTTTCTTTTCTTTTCTTTTTTTTTGCATGCTTACAGTGGAATTTTCCAGAGACTGCTGGCGCATGATTTCAACGGAGGCATGCAGAAGCAGCTGTGGGAGTGTGTCTTCTAGTAAGCAAGACATTAAAGAGACTGGCAAAAATGTGAAACAGTATCATTCTTCCCACTAAACTGCTTTTGTTTTGGAAAATTATTTTTTTTGCAAAATATATTATTTATGATAACATGCAGTGAGTTTTATTTTTTTAAATTTATTTTTATTTTTTGAGACAGAGTCTTGCTCTGTTGCCCAGGCTGGAGTGCAGTAGCACAATCTCAGCTCACTGCAACCTCCGCCTCCCAGGTTCAAGCGATTCTCCTGCCTCAGGCCCCCTATTACCTGGGATTACAGGTATGTGCCACCGTGCCTGGCTAATTTTGTATTTTTAGTAGAGATGGGATTCCACCATGTTGGCTGGGCTGGTCTTGAACTCCTAACCTCAGGTGATTCACCTGCCTCAGTCTCCCAAAGTGCTGGGATTACAGGTGTGAGCCACTGTGCCTGGCCAGGTTTCATTCTTTTTAAATGAATCGTTAAAAATGTTTTTAGTTTAATTTCTAATATGGTAAATACTGATAGATGTAACCCACATAAACAAAAGCCCCTTGAGGTTCTCAATACTCCTTAAAAGTATAGAGGGGTCTTGAGAACACTGAGTTAGAGACAAGCTGAGTTAGATGCTGTCCGCAATCCTGCTGGCTCCTCCAGCCCACAAGTCCACTCTGCTGCTCAGGTGCCAGGTGAACCTGCTGGGGCTGCCCTCTTCAGGACCCCCACTCCACCCCAGCCTTGTAGAGTGCCTCTGACAAACATCCTTCCCAAGAACGATTACGCCACTTTAATCTGCATCCACTTTACTGTTCTCAAAAACCTTTCATACGCTTAATCTCATTGAGTCCTGGAAGGCAGGTATTAAGCATCTGGTAAGAAACTTAGAAAGTGACGCTGGATTTCTAATTCTAACACAAACAATCCAGGAACTTGCTCATTTATATAGTTAGATCTGCCTGACAATAAAAGGAAAGTGAGAGGCGGTCATGGTGTATGTGGCAACCTGGATAATGGAATGGAGTGCGTGTCCTAGTCCCCCCACTTTTGGGTTTCTTGCAATCAAGCAAGAGAGGGCAGTTTATAAGTGGATGGACACAGGGGTCTGCCTGAGAGGCCCTTTTTACCCCCGCTTCACAGATGGCAGCTCTACTGATGTCCCCCAGTTTTCTCTCATAGGCTCAGAGCTGCAAGAACCCAAGGGAAAGGAAGATCTTGAAAGCCTCTCATTCTCTGGCTTCTTCCAGCGCCAAGTATGTGGTGATGTGGAGAGAAGCAGAAGGGTTGAACTTACCCCAGCAAATGACTCCAGCCTCCCCGCCATCACCCGTAAAGACAGTCTAAACCTCTCCCCTTGCTTGTGAACTCAGAGTCCTTTCGGGGGACTCAGAAGGTTATACCTGTGTATGTGCGAATAGTTTTCGAATGTTTCACACACATATGTATAAGTAAGTTTAAATCGTTTGTGGACATTGTCATGATTAATAAAAAGCTCACTCACTGAAAAGCATTAGCGTTACAGCTTTCCCTCATTTTACTCATACTAAAGTATTACTATCAAGGGGGTTACAATTTTCATCAAAAGGAGTCCTCAGTTTTGAAAGGGTTAAGACTGGCTGGTCTCAGCGCTACTCTGGAGCTCTGCTGACAAAGGTGTAACATTTTGGGCTACACCCAAGTTTCACACCAACAGTCTCCTCTCCTTTTTGTGACTGTATATGTACCAGGGTAGTGCTCGCCTTTGACTCTCTGCAGAAAATGTGAGGTGACAAGCAGCAAGTGTCACAGCTACATACACCGACACCTGCCGTTCTTGAGGGAGCGGCCCCATGACATTTGTGAACTGGAAAGTACTTATGTCAGCTCCTCACTTCCTTCTGAGCCCTTTCTCTGTTGAGGGTTGTTGTTTCCGAGCCTGCACCTATACCGCTTTGCAGAATCCATTTACCATTTATGTCTCTCTCGCCGGGCACAGTGACTCACGCCTATAAGCCCAGCACTTGGGGAGGCTGAGGCAGGCGGATCATTTGAGGTCAGAAGTTCGAGACAAGCCTGACCAACCTGGTGAAACCTTGTGTTTACTAAAAATACAAAAAGTAGCCAGGCATGGCAGGTGGGCGCCTGGAATCCCAGCTACTCGGGGGGCTGAGGCAGGAGAACTGCTTGAACCTGGGAGGCAGAGGCTGTAATGAGCCGAGATCGCACCACTGCACTCCAGCCTGGGCGACAGCGAGCCTCCATCTCGAAAAAAAGAAAAAAATCTAATTCTCACTTGATGGTCTTTTTTTTTTTTTTTTTTTTTCTTTTTTTTTTTCAGGAAAAAGCACAAAATGCTTACCATTTCTCAGATTTCCCACATCTGGCATGACAACAAAAGACCCACAAAACTCAGTTGATATGTTCCAAAGAAGCCAACTGAGTAGTGTTGCCAGACTTAGCAAATAAAAATACAGAATGCTTCATTAAATCTGAACTTCAGATAAACATCCCTTGGTATACATGGGGGACCAGCTTCACAAACCCCTGAGAATACCAAAATCTGAGAATGCGCATGTCCCTTGTATAAAATAGCACAGTATTTGCATATAATCTGCACATAACCTCCCATATACTGTAAATCATCTCCAGATTACTTACAATTAATAAAATGTAAATGCTATTGCATTTGTTATACTATATTGTTTTTTAAAAATTGTATTTTTTAATGTATTCAATCCACAGTTGGTTAAACCCATGGATGTGGAACCATGGAGGGGTGGCCCAGCTGTACAGGAATATCTCACGCAATGTTTGGAAAATACTTACACTAAAAATGTACTTGTTGTTTATCTGAAATTCAAATTTAAGTGAGCATTCTGTGTTTTATCTGGTACCCCTAAAACTAACTTGCTCCAGTATGGGAAGACTTTCTGCTTGGGGATTTAAAATTTACGCCTTAACAGAGTTGGCCATTTTTACCAGTCATGAGCCTTCATGGGCTCCTGCAAATAGTGACCCTGATGAATTTCGTAACCGTGAATGCCAATAAAGTACTTCATTGATCCTGCAAGTATTTTTTTCTAACCCTAAGAAGTTACAATTAAGAAAAACTCATCTAGGAGCTTTATAAGAGCCTCCTTTAACTGAGGCTTTATATGTGTATAATATATAGTGTATCTAGATAATATATAGTGCATACAGGTGTTTAATATATGTGTATGTATCAAATACAGTATATAAAATATATAGTGTATATATAACATGTATGTAATGCTTGTATAACATTCCCTTTGAAAGAATTATAACAATCACATTATATGTTTTATATATATGTTATATATTTCCATCTCCCATCTCCCTTGTTCTAAAAAAAGGGACTCTAAGGTGTCTCATAAAATACATATACACGACATATTTAGAAAAAAAATGAATGAAAGCGGTAAATAGCAAATCTGGTTGGGAACATGAGACGAAGCCAGGAATGAAGCTAGGATGGGAGGCGGACATCAGGGGCTGGGACAGCTGGTGCGTGGTGGGTGGCACACAGCGCATAGCAGGTGGCACACAGCGCGTGGCGGGTGGCACACAGCGCCAGGCTTCTGCACAGCGACGCACAGAGCCTCTGCAGTGGCACATTTCACAGTGTCCACAAAATAAGCCACTTGATAAGGAGCCATTCAGCTCTTTGTGGTTTTGATCTGAGAACATCCTCCCAATGTAATCCAGTGACTCAGGCTCTTTGTAAGAGTTTGTTCGTATAGGGCAACACCTGTTCCCTAGGCCCTCAATGTTTGCCAGTGGCAAAATGCATCAGTGTAGTTCAGAAGCAGTAACTCTTCTGGGCTTGAACTCCCAGCCTCAGGTGATCCGCCCGCCTCGGTCTCCCAAAGGGCTGGGCCCACTGCGCTTGGCCTCTCTTTTTAACAAGTGAAGAAATTGAGGCTAAAAATTATATACTCAGAGTCACAAAACTGGCCAGGGCTGTGATGTTAACCCCGGCTGGCCTAATTATTAAAGCCTGGCTCTTTCAGAGAATGAGAAAGGCTTTTACATTTTTCATGGGGTTCAAAACGAATATTTAGTTCCTTTTCCGATTATGAAAGTCAAACCTGTTTGTTTAGAAAATAGAAAAAATGGGAAAGAAAGAAGAAAAAAGATGACCCATTCTTTCATTATCTGAAAGAAATAAAGGTCGTTTGTAGTCCCTGGTCACGGGGAAAAGGCGGGGCACAGAGCTCAGGGTGTGGGATGAGGGTGAGGGGCGTTTTAAACGATGAACCAGTTCTGTGTTTTCCCTTCCTCCCAGCTAACTCTGTTGGAATATTAGTTCAGAAAACCTGAATTCTTGGTTTTGCTTCGCTAGACACTGGTTCTGGGACTTTCTGAAATCATTTTGCTGGGCGCCCCTAAGCCACACCCCCAAGGCTCTTATTTCCTGAGGCGGAAAGTGAAAGATTGGCTGGAAGTTTTTCTCGAAAGTTGCCCTGGAGGCTGCTGAAAACCCTGATAACTTGTCCTAACCCAGGCCGATGAATCCAGATCTCAGGGGCCAGGGACTGGGAGTCCTCGTCTCCCCAGACGCTGAGCAGACGGCCGCTCTCTAAAGACTGAGACCCGGAGCAGCTCAGGGCTCCTGCTGACCCAGGCCTTGGGAGCCGCAGGCTCCACGTCCACCCTCACCAGCAGGAGGAGGAGGAGGAGGAATACCCGGACCAAGGCAGGCGTTTCTGCTCGGAAACACCCTCTGGGTAACCAGCCTGAGGCCCGCGGCCACACCTCACCTGTAGGCGCCCAGGTTGATGCAGCTGATCCCCAGGTTGTATCTGGACCGGATGAAGCCCGGCTGGATCTCCAGCGCGCGGGTGTAGGCCTCCACGGCTTCCTCGCTGCGGTCTCCGTTGGCCAAGGTCGCCCCGAGACGGTTCCATAGTGAATAGTCCTGATGACAAAATCAGAGCTTTCTCACAACCCAGTGCGAGCCACAGCGGCAGAGCCCTCCCAGACTTCTCTGCAGAGAAAGGAAGACGGCTAGACATGGACTCAGTGCTCATGGTGGAGACCGTGGCCAGGGGAATTGCTACAAAATCTTCACGGACAGTTTTGTCCAGTGACTTTCACTCATTAACAAACAGCCAGCACTGGAGGCTGTCATGTCATCCATGTCTCTATTTTAGGTATTTCAGTATTAACAGCCACGTAGCACATCGTTAGTACCCATCACTTGGAACCACGGGAGGTAGAAGGACTGCTGGCCGTGAACACTGGTTAAGGAGAACACTGGTTTCTAGGTGCGCCTGCCGTCTTACCTCCGGCCGGACAGTTAAGGCAGCGTTAAATGCATCTATTGCTCTATTAAATTCTCCACTCAGGTGGAACAGGACCCCGAGCCCTGTCTGTAGGTCTGGGTCGATCATATCTCCATTTTGATGGGCAGCTTCCAGATATAATTCCTTCACTCCTTCCAGAACAGAGCTACGAGAGAAAAAACCAATTAGATTTGTAATCCCAACAGTCAGAACAGAAATGATTTACTGTTAAATCTCTTGACTCTATTTCAAGAAATCTCTTCATTACAGACTGGAAAACTTTCCTTAAAATAACTTAATAAGAGGATTATTAATGCTGAGTGTTTTACAATATGGCTGATTTTCATGACGTGGGTTGTTGAACACAGATACAGACTGCCGAGTAAGGTCTTCCCGAGGAGAGTTCTGCTCACTGTGAGCGCCAATGTGGAAACCCCACAGCTAAGTTTCCCAGGGCCTCAGTGAGCAAGAATTTGACCTAAGGATTTATTGTTGGCAGAAAACAAACTTTCTAGAAGACCAGACTTTCATTTTTCCCATTCCTAATTCTCAGGCTTGAGAAAACTTGGAGCATTAGCATTTCTTATACTTTACCTTGGGTGAATTATGTGTCCAAAGCATTTGACTCTAAAATGTGGCACTCAGATAAATGCCTGTGTGTGCCCGCAATGTACGCCATGTGCCTGAAGGAGGTTGGCCCTGTCTAAGTGTCAGTCTTTCTAATGAGCGATGCTCCTCAAGCAGAATTCCCTCCTGCAAACCATTCTGGAGTGGGTGGTGTCAGGGACGTGAGGCTCATTAGTTACCTGTTAGGTGATTCATTGTATCTATGGGTGTTTACTGCCAGCTGGAATGTAACGGGAAGGATACCTATCAACTGGGGACTTAGACATCCTGCGGGTGAGGCCTGGGGATCCCTTCTTGCTCTTCACAAGGTACTTGTACTTGGGATTTTGCTTAATCCAATTCTTCAAAGCTTCACAGGCATCCTGCTGATGGCCAGTGTTGGTATGACTCACGGCCAGTGCCATCAGTGCTTTTAAGTTGTTGGGCTGTAATTCTAAGCACCTGAAAAAAAAGGAAGCCAATTTCAGATTTTTTTTTTTTTTACTTCTAACAGTTCTTTAGAAAATGTGGGGTCTTTATTAACTAAATACTGCAAAAGCATTGTTAAGCTTGTTACGTCAAGTCCTTGGAAAGCACCATATTTATCCACCTAAAAACAGAGACCTCAGCATATTTTTAAGACAGTTAAAACTTACCCTAATGACTGCGAGGTTTGGTAATTTTAATAAGCGGCTTTAAAACTATGTGGCTTATCCATGTACATGATTTATTAGTGGTTAAACTAATAAGATCTAATGAGAAGTAGGGGATATCATTATTTTAATGCTGCTCTCTCTTTTTTTAAAAAAATGGAATCTCACTCTGTCCCTGAAGCTGGAATGCAGTGGTGTGATCTCTCTCGGCTCAATGCAAACTCTGCTTCCTGGCCTCAAGTGATTCTCCTGCCTCAGCCTCCTGAATAGCTGGGATTACAGATGCCCACCACACCCAGCTAATTTTGTATTTTTAGTAGAGACAGGGTTTCACCGTGTTGGCTAGGCTGATCTTGAGCTCCTGAACTCAAGTGATCCACCCACCTCGGCCTCCCAAAGTACTGGGATTACAGGTGTGAGCCACTACACCTGGCCTTTACTATCAATATATTAAAGGTATACATTTATACATATAATATATAAACGTTCTCTTTTATATTTGTATATTAAGTGTATAAATGTGTATATTTATACATTAAATACATAATGTATAAATAGATACATACAAACATATAACATATGGGATGTGTGTATATATGTACACACAAACATTAAAGGTACTTATATATTTATACATTTAATATATAAATATAAAAGAGAACTGACTTGAATGTAGACATCTAGAGATGAAAGACTGTGCAGTGTTTTGCAAAGGAGAGAGGAATCCTTGTGGGGTCAGAACTGCCAATGTGGGTTTACAGGAGACAGTGGCAAAGCTACTCCCCCCCCCCATTCGATTCCATTGGACTTTAGCAGGGGATTTCCAAATTGAAGGGCATGCAAACCACCTGGGGCTCTCATAAAATCTGCATTCTGATGCAGCAGGCCTGCTGGGGTGGTTTGACAAGTTCTCAGGTGAAGATGCGGTCTCTGGATAAGACTTTGAGTAGCAAGCCCTAGGCAGTACCTAATGCCGCTCTGTGGTGAGCCTAATCTCCCAGAAACTTAGCCGCGCTGGGTAGAGAGGTTCCTAAGACTGGATGCACATCACGAACACCTGGTGAGGTTTGACAATGATTGCTGCCTGGTTCCCAGCCCTGATCAATTAAATGATAATCTCTGGGCTGTGCTCGGGCATCATTTTCCCCTCTAAATGATTCTAATGTGTGTGTGTATACAGGGGTAAGAACCAGGGGATCTACCTTGACCTTCCTGACCCCCAATTCTCTCATCTGTAGGAAAAGGCTCTGAAGGCAGGGCCATACGCTAGGCATTACCTCATCAGATACCAACAGAATCTTGAAATCTAGGTTTCCAAGACTGTAAAGCCCTAGAATTTCAAGAGTCTAGAATTCTTACAATCTAAGATTCCAAAGCTATAGGAGTTGTACACATACATTATATATGACCATCCATATAAACATATACATATAACAGATGGTATATGTGTGTATGTATACATATATATGTATGTCTACACACATATATTCTCTTCCTATAGCACTATATTAAAGGTACTTACAAGAAAAGGTAGGGAAAGGGGAAGTCTGTTTGGTAGAGGCTACTTTTCCAGGGTTTAAATAGGACTCTAATCAAGTAGGGTGTAATATTACACACACCCTCTCTTCCCATCCCTTCCTTTCCCAACGTCATGCAGACCATTAGTCAGTATTCCACTTCTGTTTTTTTTGAAGAATATTTTCAGATGTTTCAGAAGTCTAAAAAGTTAAAAGAAACTATTCAATGGGTCTGCTTTATGACTGGGCTTAACACGGTCTTTCTCTGGTCCCAGTCACTGTCCACTGATTTGTAGATAGCAAGACATGGTTAGGAACGTTGTTTCACTACAAGCTGTTTTTCAGGGCGACGTGTGAGTCATATGCGGCGTCTCAGCACGTGTCTTGGCTAAATTCTTTATATTGTACTGCAGTAAAGATCAAAAGACACATCTGAAACAGCAAGTCCATTAACAAGCATCCAGCAGGCCCCTGATTGTGCACTTAGCTTCACTTACCTCTGGAGGGCGACAATAGCTGCTTGCTCGTTTTCATTCTCTGCCTGGGTTATCCCGAGGAACTGCCACGCCTGGGAAAGACAACGGACGTTAATACCGCAAGGTGAAGCAGGATTACCAACGGGCTTCGGTTGGTTTGTTTACCTGGGATGGGTCCCCTGTGCAGAGCAACCTGTCTCAGATGTGAGATCTGCATAAAAGGGGGAAATGTCGCATGCATTTCTTCATTCAGACTCTCTTGTGACGTCTGGGTCAAAATCCTCCGTCGTTAGTTCAAAACCCATTCAGTGTTAATCCTTTCCTATAACCCAGTGTGACGGAAGCCTCTGCATTTCTGAGATTTCATTATATTAGGTATTTTAAAACCCAAAGATAAATATATAAAATTCTACAATTATGAGAAAAAGGGGTGGAAAAATAGCCCAGAAATGTAGCTAAATAAAGTTTACAATAAGGAATCTCAAGATGTACAATATGAACTTTGCTTGTGTGAATGAAAGTCAAACAGTTACTAGAAAAATTCACAGGAGATTCAGGAACTAGGAAAAGCAAAACAAAACAAAATCTACGATGTGTTCATTCCTCTAATGTAATCACTGTTGAAACACACAAAACACACATAAACACAACCATAAGGTAGACATAATTTTATAGTCTACATTTACACATTTCATTGTCCCTTAAGCCCCTTTTCATGTTTCAAAATCCTCATAATTTTTAATTTGGATTTTGTTGAACGGACATTTGATTATTTACCCAACAATTTCCTTATTGCTCTAAGTTGGTGGAAATCATTTGCTACTGTAAATAATTTGAAGAACATCTTCAAGCAGATAGCTTATGTTTTTACATCTAGAATTAAAGTTTTTAATATAGCAAATTTTCTTTATATGATCATAAGAACAGTAACTGTCATACTTTTCTAAGAGTAATACTCACAAGCAAAAGTCTCTTATTATACACACTGTCCTCAGCTTTGCTGAGGGTGGAGATATATTAGGGTTGTAGGGATTTAAAAACGTTTGGGGAGTGTGTAACTCTGCCTCCCAAGGCTGGCAGAGTTATACGCTCCCTAAACATTTTTACACACTCCCATAATACCATTTTAAAACAAACCTCTAGGAAAGCAGTTATCTTAAAGTGTCATTTGAATGGTTTTGGCTTTTCCCCTTATGGGTTATTATTGGATATATTTTATAAACTCATAAAAATACTGATTATGCCCCCCTCCAAATATCCTTTATTCTTTAAAATCTCTTAAACGTACATAGAGCAACCTCTATTTTGACTTCACCTTCCATGTATCTTAGAATGCTTCTTAAGAAAAGCTTGATGAAATTGCCTTTCTCTGGGGGCATTTTTCTAGACAGTGGCCATGGTGTCATTCTCACTGTGTGCAGTATTATTATCTCAGCTTGAAGGTCCCCATAGATTCAGAAGCCCTGGGTCCTTGTCTGGGGTTCATTAGTTACCATAGGCTCTCATTTTCTCATTTATGAATCTGAGATCATAATACGTCATTGAGAGAATCTTCTAGGGCCCTTATGTCAAATAATATCGCATATTTGAAAACACCTTGTAAAACACTTAGTAGTTACAAATGTAAGATGGCATTATTATTTTTGGGGGGTGGCCTATAGTTTCATATTAGTGTAATAATTTCCTCTTCTACAATGAGCATATATCTTTATTTTATTTTTGAGACAGAGTCTTGCTCTGTCACTCAGACTGTAGTGCCGTGGCATGATCTGGGCTCACTGCAACCTCCGCCTCCCAGGTTCAAGCAATTCTCCCACCTCAGCCTCCTGAGTAGCTGGGATTACAGGCACAAGCCATCCACCCAGCGAATTTTGTTTTGTATTTTTAGTAGACACAGGGTCCTTCCATGTTGGCCAGGCTGGTCTTGAACTCCTGGCCTGAAGTAACCCCCCTGCCTTGGCCTCCCAAAGTGCTAGGATTATAGGCGTGAGCCACCACGCTCAGCCTATGTTTTAAAGATTCTAATATTTTGGTTCAGAATTTCAGCTTTCAATTCGATCCCATTTCACTGTAAACCTTTTGACCAACAAGATATTACAAGATTTAACTAGTGACCAGTTTACTCATTCTTCCTATATCAAGTACAGCCAATGATAACGATGAAGGCGAATGTTGATGTGCCAGGCACTGAGCTGAGCACTTTCTTTGTGTGAACTAATTTCATCCTCGCAACACATAGTGAGACAGTTACAATTAGGATTTCCACGTTACAGATGAGGAAACTGAGGCTTAGAGTGTTTAAATGACTTGCCCTGGGTCCCACTGCTAACAGGGAGAACAGGGATCGGAAGCTATGCAGCTGGGGTAGCATGGCCTGGGTGCTTAACCACTAGTCTACGTTGTGTTCTCAGCACCAACATACACACCTGTGCCTACAATTTCTGCAGATTCCCTTGGAAACATTCTTACATGATGATTCCCGAAAATTACAAACGAAAGAAGAAAGCATCACACTCCCGCTATCTTAGGATGGGCCTTTGCAGGTTTGCGAAACCCAATGGACGCGGGCGGCAGAGCTTCCTGCTGCCCTCCCAGTCTGTCTCATGGCTCTTCTCATCTCTGAGAAAGGGGTTTTTCTAACACGCAATCCGCTGGTACACCTTTCCTGAGTACAGGCCCCAGTGCTTTCCCACAGCCTTCAGATGAACGTCAAATCCTTGCCTATCTCTCTGCCATTCTCCCTCCCCTCTTCCACTTCACACGATGCGTCACGCCCGTCTGCCTCCCCACGCAGCATTCTCTGGACATGAAAACGGGACTCCTCTCCTGCCTTCCAGTCCCACCCCATGCTGGCTTCACTGTGCAGACAGGCTGATGTTTTAGTCTCCCAGCACCGTGTGCTCACGTGGACCCCGCATTGATCACACGACACCCATGTTGCCACTTGTCTTCCCAGATAGACCGTAAACATGTTTTTCCAACTCATAACTTCTCCCAGCGTTTCAGTATTTTGAGCCAGGACCCGGCATAATTTTTGGGACATGGCATGTGTTTAATAAATGTGGGGTGAGTGAACCAAGGGTGATGTACAGTGTGACATAAGAACCAGACATCACGATACACTGTCCCTTGAAAACAACTGCCAGGCGCAGTGGCTCACGCCTGTAATCCCAGCACTTTGGGAGGCCCGAGGCCAGTGGATCCCTGAGGTCAATAGTTCGAGACCAGTCTGATCAACATGGTGAAACCCCATCTCTACTAAAAATACAAAAATTAGCTGGGCATGGTGGTGGGTGCCTGTAACCCCAGCTACTTGGGAGGCTGAGGCAGGAGCACCGCTTGAACCTGGCAGGTAGAGGTTGCAGTGAGCTGAGATAGCGCCACTGCACCCCAGCCTGGGTGACAGAGCAAGATTCTGTCACAAAAAAAGGAAACTGCTGATGAGCCTCCAGGTTGGTGATCTTGATTTTTTGTTGCCTGTCCCCAACCTTTATTTATAGGCACTATTGACACTGCCGATTAGAAAGTAGGTTAGAAAACAGGTACCTATTGGTAACTTTCAAACCAGTAGGCTAAGCTAGATTAACTCCTCTGGGAAGCTTTACTTGATGGAAAGGCAGAGTTCAGCGTTTTCTGCCCCTTGCTGGCACACACCCTTCCTGAGTCTGGCAGAATGAAGGGAGAAAGGTACCTCTGCATCGCCAGGGTCCTGAAGAATTGCTGCTTCCATAAACAGGATGGTGACCGGCAGGTCCCCTTCCTTCAGCCTTTTTAAACCTTCTTCAAATGCTCCAGGCCAGTCCTTGAAGGGGTTTTCAGTGTGAAAGTAATATCCCTGCAACACAGAGACAGACCAGTGCACAAGCCATTGATTTCTCTTTTCATTGTTACATCCAGGAAGAATGTAAATTAAAAAGTCAGGAAACAACGGATGCTGGAGAGGATGTGGAGAAATAGGAACGCTTTTACACTGTTGGTGGGAGTGCAAACTAGTTCCACCATTGTGGAAGACGGTGTGGCAATTCCTCAAGGACCTAGAAATAGAAATTCCATTTGACCCAGCAATCCCATTACTGGGTATACACCCAAAGGATTATAAATCATTCTACTATAAATACACATGCACACATATGTTTATAGCAGCAGTGTTCACAATAGCAAAGACTTGGAACCAACCCAAATGCCCATCAAAGATAGACTGGATAAAGAAAATGTGGCACACACATACCAAGGAATACGATGCAGCCATAATAAAGGATGAGTTCATGTCCTTTGCAGGGACATGGATGAAGCTGGAAACATCATTCTCAGCAAAGTAACAGAAGAACAGAAAGCCAAATACCGCATGTTCTCACTCATTAGTGGGAGTTGAACAATGAGAACACGTGGACACAGGGAGGGGAACATCACACACTGGGGCCAGTAGGGGGATGGGGGGGCTAGGGGAGGGACAGCATTAGGAGAAATACCTAATGTAGAAGATGGGTTGATGGGTGCAGCACGTGTATACCTATGTAACAAACCTGCACATTCTGCACAGGGACCCCAGAACTTAAAGTATAATTAAAAAAATTAAATATTTATTTTGATTTTTAAATTGAACATTTTAAATTTCTGCTTTTCCTTATTATGAATGTAGCACATTTTCATTGTATAAAGTTTAGATAAAACCAAATAATATCACAAGATACAAAAAGAATGACAGGTATACAATGCCACAACCTAGATATGACCACTGCTAGTATGTTTGAGTTTGCTTTCTTCTGATATTTCTTGTTCTTTTTGTGTTAACAATTCTCCCTCATGATTTCAAAGCACTGACTCCTCACGTTTTCGCCGAGTGCTCCCACCCACCCCCGAAACACGAGCCCCACGTGCTGGATCTGTGTACCTCCCGTGGCCCTCTGGGGAGGTACAAGCCACTGCCATAGCTGAGGGAATTTTGCCTTCACCCTGGACCAGCTTTTTTTTTTTTTTTGAGATGGAGTTTCGCTCTTGTTACCCAGGCTGGAGTGCAATGGCGCGATCTCGGCTCACCGCAACCTCTGCCTCCTGGGTTCAAGCAATTCTCCTGCCTCAGCCTCCTGAGTAGCTGGGATTACAGGCACGTGCCACCATGCCCAGCTAATGTTTTGTATTTTTAGTAGAGACGGGGTTTCACCATGTTGACCAGGATGGTCTCGATCTCTTGACCTCGTGATCTACCCGCCTCGGCCTCCCAAAGTGCTGGGATTACAGGCTTGAGCCACCGCGCCCGGCCCACCCTGGACCAGCTTTTGCCTGTGGGGGGCTGTATTGCCCCTGTTGAGAATGCATGTTTTAAAGTTAAAGGTTTTATAACTTCAAAAATTTAAAGAATACAGAATGTACAAATAATTGTCTGGTATTTTCTATGAGTATATGAATTAAACAAATAGGCACATATTACATACACAGTCTTACAGCTTAGGCCTCACTTAGATTTATATTGTGATCATTTCTCTATGTTATTAAAATTATTCCTATGGATAGATATATTTATTTACTCAATTCCCTATTGATAAACATTGAGGTCATTTAAAATTTTTTGTTATCATAAATAAAACAACGGTGAAAGCCTGATGCACAAATCTTTGTCTGAACTTACTTATTACCTTAGGGTAGACTCCCAGAGGGATTTATTAGGTTAAGGTTATGAGCTGTTTTTAAGCCCTGGATATATGTAGCTAAATTGTTTTTGAAAAAATGTGTCCCCCTTAAACTCTCATCTGAAGTATCTAAGAGATGTTATTTGTTGCAGTTTTACTTGCATAGGTCATCATAAAATCCTTTAAATTTGATAGATACAAATAAGCTAGTGTGTTGATGATGTCACTAAGGTTTAAAAGCAGATCCAGTGGAGGCCTTTGGGCTCTGTAGGTGCTGAGAAAGACAAAATCCACGATCAGCCACAAGGTCTGAGGGCTTATGTGGAGTTAGTGTGGTTACGGGGTTCATAAGTGCCACAGACCTCAGGAGCACGAATGACAGCCCAGAGACTGATGATCTGAATCAATGTCCTGTGTTCGCACTTAGCTTGGTTTCCTTGTAGAAAAGAGTTACTTTTAATGAGATGGTTGTTCTAATTTTATGAGATTACTTGGCCTATTGAGGAACAGAGTATTTGGAGGAGAGAGACATTTTAATGGCTCTGTAGATTGCAGATCGACTAAAATCAGAGACTATTCACCATCACACCCCCCATACTTAGTGTAAGAGTAAATGCTCAATAGATATTTGTTGTATAAGCAAAATATCATAAAAGTTGCCCAGAACTGAGTCTTACTGAGATGTCCTCCACCACAAAATAATAATACATCCTTATCTAAATACAGTTTTTCTTTTTCTAAATTTATTTTGATTTTTGTGGGTACCTCGTGGGTATATGTATTTATGGGGTACATGAGATATTTTGATACAGGCACACAGGCCTGCACATATGTGATATGCGTAACAGTCACGTCAGTGTAAATGGGATGTCATTGCCTCAAGCGTCTATCCTCTTTATGTGTTATGAACAAGCCAGTTACACTCTTTTAGTTATTTAGAAATGTACAATAAGCTATTGTTGACTGCGGTCACCCCATTGTGCTATAAAATACTATATTTTATTCATTCTATGTAACTATATTTTAAAAGCACTGACTCTTTAGACATGTTTTATCATTAACCATCCCCAGCTCCCTCCCCAACCCTTGCCTATTACCTCTCCCAGCCTCTGGTAACCATCATTACCCTCTATCTCCATGAGTTCAACTGTTTCATGTTAGTTGCCACAGACAGGTGAGAACAGGTGAAGTCTGTCTTTCTGTGCCTAGCTTATTTTACTTCAAGTGATGACCTCCAGTTCCATCTGCGTTGTTATAAATGACAGGGTGCCGTTCTTTTCCGTGGCTGAATATGACACTATTGTGTATATGTACCATGTTTCCTTTTCCTTTTCTTTTTCTTTCTTTCTTTTTTTTATAGACAGGATCTCATTCTCAGCTCACTGCAGCCTTGACCTCCTGGGGTTGAAGTGTTCCTCCCGCCTCAGCCTCCTGAGTAGCTGAGGACTACAGGTATGTGCCACTATGCCCAGTTAAGTTTTTTCCTTTTCCCTTTCTTGTTTATTTTTTTCGATAGAGACAGGGTCTCACTCTGTTGTTCCGGTTCACATTGCTTTTATCCATTCGTCTGCTGATGGACACCTAGGTATCCTCTATATCTTGGGTATTATGATACATACTTTCTCTAGGTAAGAAAATTCCACATCTTTCTTCAAGTTATTTATACCTAATCCTCAGTGTTCGCCCCAACCCCATGAAGTGCTTTTTAAACACATAAATGCTAGAGCAGCTGGGACTTCAGGAGTGGTTTGGCTGGTTGTTCACTGTCCTTATGTATTTGCTGGGGTCCTATCGGGGAGTATCTCTAAGGAATGTTCTGGGGACTTGACCTCGTTGGGAGAGAGTCTTCTCCACGGCATTTGTTTGCTAGCTGTATAATGACCACCTGTGAAATACGGCCCAGTCTCCACTCCACTCCCATGCACTGTATAGTGACCACCTGCGAAATACAGACCAGTCTCCACTCCACTCCCATGCACTGTGTAATGACCACCTGTGAAATACGGCCCAGTCTCCACTCCACTCCCGTGCGCTGTGTAATGACCACCTGTGAAATACGGCCCAGTCTCCACTCCACTCCCGTGCGCTGTGAAATGACCACCTGTGAAATACGGCCCAGTCTCCACTCCACTCCCGTGCGCTGTGTAATGACCACCTGTGAAATACGGCCCAGTCTCCACTCCACTCCCGTGCGCTGTGTAATGACCACCTGTGAAATACGGCCCAGTCTCCACTCCACTCCCATGCGCTGTGTAATGACCACCTGTGAAATACGGCCCAGTCTCCACTCCACTCCCGTGCGCTGTGAAATGACCACCTGTGAAATACGGCCCAGTCTCCACTCCACTCCCGTGCGCTGTGTAATGACCACCTGTGAAATACGGCCCAGTCTCCACTCCACTCCCGTGTGCTGTGTAATGACCACCTGTGAAATACGGCCCAGTCTCCACTCCACTCCCATGCACTGTATAGTGACCACCTGCGAAATGCAGACCAGTCTCCACTCCACTCCCATGCACTGTGTAATGACCACCTGTGAAATACGGCCCAGTCTCCACTCCACTCCCGTGCGCTGTGTAATGACCACCTGTGAAATACGGCCCAGTCTCCACTCCACTCCCGTGCGCTGTGTAATGACCACCTGTGAAATACGGCCCAGTCTCCACTCCACTCCCGTGCGCTGTGTAATGACCACCTGTGAAATACGGCCCAGTCTCCACTCCACTCCCGTGCGCTGTGAAATGACCACCTGTGAAATACGGCCCAGTCTCCACTCCACTCCCGTGCGCTGTGTAATGACCACCTGTGAAATACGGCCCAGTCTCCACTCCACTCCCGTGTGCTGTGTAATGACCACCTGTGAAATACGGCCCAGTCTCCACTCCACTCCCATGCACTGTATAGTGACCACCTGTGAAATACAGACCAGTCTCCACTCCACTCCCGTGCGCTGTGAAATGACCACCTGTGAAATACGGCCCAGTCTCTACTCCACTCCCGTGCACTGTGTAATGACCACCTGTGAAATATGGCCCAGTCTCCACTCCACTCCCGTGTGCTGTTTAATGACCACCTGTGAAATACGGTCCAGTCTCCACTCCACTCCCATGTCACAGGTATCACTTCTGTTGTTGGCGTATCGACAGGTCTCACATGCCTGGCTGTCAGAGCATGATGTGAGTAGCCCAGTTCTTGCTCCTAGCCACCCTCATGTCAGCTAGTTCGGGAACTCTCTAGCCAGCGGGAGGCAGGCTCTGGTCGGCTGCCACACTGTCTGTCTGAATGCTGATATCAATAAGAGCATTTCATTCTAACTTGGCTTCCTTCAGGCACTGGATAATTACATTGTCTCATTCTATCAGAATTTCTTCTAGGTCACAGCGACATTCAATTGTCTTTTTAATTCCTGTGTTTTTCACAAAATATCTATTGACTAAATCTATAAAATATGATTCCAAAAGCTAGAGAAAACTAGTTGGCATGTAAAGAAGCAGCACTGGTTACCTTCTCACTAGCCGAGATGGTTACTTGGTTCTGAGCTTCCTGGTTCTCAGATATCCAGTTCCTCCGAGCCATTTCTTCCCATTCCGCTTGCATCTTATCCCAAAACTCGGTATCTGACTGGGAGACAGGAAAAATGAACAGAGATTGATTTAAGAACATGCCACGTCAGCTGTTTGTTTTCCTAATAGATGAAAGATGCTTCTCAGGAGGAATAAAATGGTGACATCCAGTTGATCGGCATAGCTGGAGAGCTTCTGGAGTGTGCTCATGGGCCAGGGCATTGGGGTGGATTAGCTGTGGCTTTCTCCAGCAGGAAAATAACTGCCATCAGAAAGACCAGGATCACAAATGCCAAATTCAGCTGAAAGCCCACTACTTACACACAGTTCCACGTGTGGGCACTAGGCCACATTTTAGGAAGAGCAGTCTCTCCTAGAATTGCTCCTAGCGTGTGAGGAATTAACGTGACCGCTTTGGGCCTGGCCGAGCAGTGACCTGGGAAGACAGCCAGGAATGGACAAAGGAACGAAACAGGAGTTGATCCTACTGCGTGTCAAGCACTGTGCTGGCAGAACACCGAGCCTGGAGGGCCACGGTCCCGAAGCTGGGACGCGCGGGATCTGAATCCCATCTGCCTTCCAGACCCACATTTGTCAGCTTACGGCAAGCTAGGTCCACGGGTGCTGAAGAATGAGGGACCCTGGTGTGAACCCGACTGATCCTCTCCAAGGACTTTTTTTTTTTTTTTTTTTTTTTTTTTTGAGATGGAGTCTCCCTCTGTCACCCAGGCTGCAGTGCAGTGGTGTGATCTCAGCTCACTGCAACCTCCACCTCCCGGGTTCAAGCAGTTCTCCTGCCTCAGCCTCCCGAGTAGCTGGGATTACAGGGGTCCACCACCACGCCGGGCTAATTTTTTTGTATTTTTAATAGAGACGAGGTTTCACCATGTCGGCCAGGATGGTCTTGATCTCCTGACCTCATGACCTCCCACCTCGGCCTCTCAAAGTGCTGGGATTACAGGTGTGAGCCCCCGTGCCTGGCCCCTCTTCAGGGACTTATGTGGCAGGATGAGTTTTTGAAAAACACTACTTCATGTCCTTGTTTCCTTGTTGTTTGCCACACATCTTCTGTAAGAGAAATCAGGCCATTTGTTCTTTTCTTCCAGGGAGGTGTGCATTCCTAGACTGAAGAAGATTTTTGCTGCAAGAGCTGTCCCTGGTGGGCCTCTATTTTATCAAGCCTGAAAAGCGTACTTTAGGTGGCCCAAGGGGCAGGAGGAAGCAGCAAGCATCTTAAAGAATTTAAGAGATACAGGGCCTGGGAGCAGTGGCTCACGCCTGTGATCCCAGCACTCTGGGAGGCTGAGGTGAGTGGATCACAAGGTCAGGAGATCAAGACCATCCTGGCTAACATGGTGAAACCCCATGTCTACTAAAAATACAAAAATTAGTCGGGCGTGGTGGTGGGCGCCTGTAGGCCCAGCTACTCAGGAGGCTGAGGCAGGAGAATCACTTGAATGCAGGAGGATGAGGTTACAGTGAGCTGAGATCGTGCCACTGCATTATAGCCTGGGTGACAGAGGGAGACTCCATCTCAGAGAGAGAGAGAGAGAGAGATTTTCCAGGTTAGGGAAAGAGAAGGAGGGTGAAGGTTCTGAGGAGTGGGAGGCTGGTGTTCAGTTTTAGCTATTTCCCAGGCAAACCAGCCTGATATCAGAGAGGATGCCCGAGGGTGTGACAGATCGGGCACACTTGAAGCCCTGTTCCACATGGCCAGGAAACAGGGCGAAATTCAAGGAACCACTTTGGACTTGGATGACTGTTAGTGGTCACCATGACAGATGGCAGGGGGTGTGGGGAGACTTAGTCTTTGTTTTCTGACACTATATAAGCCTTCCATATTTCATGCCCTAGACAAAGTTCCCTGCCAGCCTGGTAACAGAGACACTTGGAAATCGCTTAATTTTCTTAAAGAAAACAATGAGCATTTCTAGAACACCTGAATCTGGGACTGAAATTCATACTCTTTACAAATTGCACACCTCCGTTTCTGTTGTGTGAAGGTCTGTGACTTGCTGACACACCCTCATACTGACTTGAGGTCGGCCTTCCCCTGTGAACCATTCTGGTCTGCCTGGGCGGTGTTGTTCTGCAGTGAGAGCCCTTCTTCTGAGTGGCTCTGAGTGGTAATGATAACCTTATTTCTTTTAGATATAAATGTTCATGGACTAAGAACCAGCTCAATACGATTATCCCAGCCTACTAAATAAATAGTAGGTCTTGCTCCTGCTTTATTATGTCCAGAATTCCCATTCCTCCCACAGAAACGGACTCTGCCCCTTTGGCAAACGCCTCCTCTCAACAAGGCGGCAGGCATCTTGACAGCCGATGCCCATGATGCTGGGAGGACACGGAACAGCTACTAGGTATCCGGGTTCAGCTCAAAAATAAAATTCAAAATTTCTTTTCTAAGGCTTTTTCTAGTAGAATACCACACTGTACAAACAGAATTATCTCAAATATACAACAGCAAAAGCTAGATGATCCCAAATATACAACAGCAAAGGCTAGATGATCTCAAATATACAACAGCAATGGCTAGATAAAAGACTAGGAAGAAATATGCCACCATATTAATAGAAATGTGTCTTTGAATTGAAGAAATAATGGGGGATGTTTTTCCTCCCTCTTCAAACTTTTCCTGCTTTCTGAATTTTCTATGAGCATGCTTTGCTTTTATAATTAAACAATAAGGTTAAACACAACACAACAAAAATATCTTTCCTTTTTTTAAATACCTTGAAACCTGAATTATTAGATACTAACGAGTTTGGAAAAAATTTGCGGGGATTCATTTTTGAAATAGCTTTTCAAAGATGCAGGTTTAACCTGCCTGCAGTAGAAAGGAAGCCAAGTCTACCAAGTGAATTTTTATACTGTTTGCTGACTTCCCCAGACTCCCACTGGGTGACGTGAGATGCCGATGACTGCACATACTTTCCAAGGCAAATCCGTTCATCTAGTGAGAGTCCTTGGAATTTAAAGCATATTACCAGTCTTCTGCATGAAAGAATGAGAAGGATTTAATGATGTGTACATCTGAGTTACCAAAGGATGCATTACCTTTCCTGCAGCTTGAAATCAGAGCAGTAGATACATATAAATAAAGCTGCTGGGGAAAACAGACCACCTCAGCTGAGGTGGAGCTGCTGGGCTCTCACTTAATGAGATACACCAGAACTCACTGTTACCACTTAAAATGAGTTACTGCTGACTAATCAAAGTCCACAGCACAGCTTTCATTTAATTACAGAGACTACCTTTAGCATAATCAGTTTTCATCCAGCTGCAGAATCCGGACTTCATTCACATAGCTACAATGAACGCTGCTTTCCCTCCAGGATTTTAAATGAATTTTAGAGAAACCTGAAACATTTCAGTTCTAAAGATATTAAACATAACTGAGGGGATTTCATTTACTGATGATTTTCTTAGCCCTCCCGGGATTTTGGTGGATTGCTGTTCATACTCCGTGCAACAAGCTATCTGCTTACATCAGAAATAAGCTATTACTTGCCCTCCATAACCATTTCTAAGAATAGCCCTCTGATGATAAAATATCGTAGGTACTCGTAAACGCACTAGGACATGCAGCACGGTGGATGAGGACAGCGACTCTCCCCTTGGACGGGCTTGGGGTCAAATTCTTGTTCCGTCATTGCCCTTTTGTAGATATCTTAATATTCCTTTTTTTTTTTTTGAGACGGAGTTTTGCTCGTTAGCCAGGCTGGAGTGCAATGGCGCGATCTCGGCTCACCGCAGCCTCCGCCTCCTGGGTTCAAGCAATTCTCCTGCCTCAGCCTCCCGAGTAGCTGAGACTACAGGCACGCACCCCCATGCCCAGCTAAGTTTTGTATTTTTTTTTTTTAGTAGAGACGGGGTTTCACCTTGTTGACCAAAATGGTCTCGATCTCTTGACCTTGTGATCCACCCGCCTCGGCCTCCCAAAGTGCTGGGATTACAGGCGTGAGCCACCGCGCCCGGCCATCTTAGTATTTCTAAGTCTCATTTTCCGTATCTTTAAAATGAAGATATGATAGCAATTTTGGTTAGTTGTTACGACAACTAAATGAGAAAATGCATCTGTGGCATAAAGGACATGGTAGACGCTAAAAACTCTCGGCGTTCTTGCATTGTGTTTTCAAAGCATTGAGAAAAATACAGAGAATAAAACAAAAATCACCCACAACTGCAAAGCTCAAATAAAAATGCTGTGAATAGTCTGGTGTTTTAACCTGCCATGAAAACATATTATTCTTTGAGACACTTTCCTTCTCTTCATTTAAATCTTTCCCTTCCATCTAATTATTCAAAAATAGGATCAAGGTTAAGAAAACTATGGTGAAGCATCTATAACGGATTGTATGTAGCAAATTAAAATGGTGTTTATGAGCAGTTTATTAAAATATTGATAGTCCTTGAGTTATAATGTTTCTTGCTAAGTAGTATAACCACAATAATAGAAAACCAATCGCAATAATGGTCCGAGGGGTGGGGGAGACTGCAGGGAAGCCACTGTAGAACTGCTTTTATGGGGTACCCGCCCCTTTTATGGGGTACCTGTCCCTTTTTCTTGTACTTTTTACCATTTCCCAAATTTTCTATTGCTAGCATGAGTTATTTTGGTGGAAAAGTAAGATTTGGCTTAAAAAATGCTTACTTCTTTTCAATTTCAGTTCCCCCATGAGGTCTTCTTCAACATTCCTGCACTAGAGCAATCCTTTGCCTCTGAATTCCTTCATCACTGATACTCTGTGTTAGTGGTTTGAAAGAAGATATATGCTAGAAGTTGAGCAAGTTGTTTTAACTCAACTGTAAGTTATTTTTCCTCTTTTGTAAAGTGAAAAGATTGCGTTCATTAGACAGCAGCTTAGGGTTCTCTACATGGACTGACTCAGATCAGAATAAGGCAGAAGAAGGATCTCAGCACAGAATCACATTTTTTATTTTTGAAGGGGGCTTTTAGTCTATTTACTAATCTCTAAAAATTATACTTTAAAATGTTTCCCGAAAGTACACTGGACATTAATTTCCTTCACTTTTTTGATTGTAAAACTG